GGGCCGTCCCCCGCGGGGCCGGGACCGGGGCGGGGCCGGGGGCAGCGTCCGTCCCCTCTGCCCGGGGAAGGGCCCCGGGCCGCCGGCTGGTGGCGGGTCCCGGGCGCGGCGATGTGACCTGAGGCGGTGCTGCATCCYGGGGCTGGGGACCGGCCGGGCCCTGCCGCTCGCACCGCGCTCCCCTCACACACGGGAACCCCCGGCCTGGGACACGGCGGGGGACGGGCCCCGCGGGCTCTGAGCCTGACACGAGCCATGGTGACTGACCCAAAATCCCAAAACACCCGTATTTGCCCGTTCCCCCATCCCGGASTGGCCCGCCTGGTGCCAGCCGCGGACAGGAGGGAAAAGCGACTTTCGGGGTCACCCGTGGGACASCGGCCTCAGCCGCAGGCGGAGCAGRTGCCTGGRCAGGGGCAGCCCCGGCAGGCAGGGAAGTAGCCCCGGTTCCGGGGCAGCGTCTGTGCTACCCGGGCCGGCAGAAAAGTGTTTTAGAAGGAGCTCTGACGGACACAAATGGAACTTTCCATGGCACATGGCAGCAGAGCGGAAATACATTTCTCCCACTTTGTTCTTCTTTGCTACCCGGGGAGGTTGTGGATTCTCCCTCTCTGGAGACAATCCAAACCCACCTGGATGCGTTCCTGTTCTGGGTGACCCTGTCTTGGCAGRGGGCTGGGCTGGATCATCTCCAGAGGCCCCTTCCAGCCCCGGCTRTTCTGTGMCTCTGTGATTCAGTGATTCTGTGATTCATTGACAGCCGCTTGTTGGCYACCAAAGCGCCGCCGCGGCGTTATTTCCAGTCAGCGCCTGTTATCAGCCGCCCGCAGGTGTCTTTGGGAAGTGTGTGCAATCAGGAAACGATCGCTCGGCAGCGCTGCACTTCCCACAGCTCCCAAATCCTCGCCTGGGAGAYTCGGGGGACGCGGCCCGCCGTGACACAAAATAACCTTGGGGCAGGACGCGGGGAGGTGCCGGCCCCGGAGCCGCGCCCGGCACGGSCGGCTCAGAGCGCAGGTGTGTTTAGGGGAAACTGCTCCGTATCCTGCTGATAACGCTCCTACCTTTGCACTCCCGAGCCACAACAGGGCGATTGCACCCTCTTCAAACGACACCTGGCAATTACACTGCTGGAAATAGCTTTTATTGCCGAAGCCGCCCGTGTGCCGCCGTGCCCAGCTGTGCTGTGCGCCCCGGGCAGCTGCGCTGCTGCAAACCGGCGCTCCGGGGAAGGAGGCAGCTCCKTGCCTTTCACCTTAAATAACTCCGGGGTGATGTGAGGTTCACACACGACCTGCYGTACTCCCTCAAGCGCAGGTCCATCACGCACCACCCGCCTCCAGCCCTCGCCGGGCCACAGCGGGTGCCCGCGTTTGAGGATAAAGACCGGGGMAAGCGGGCAGAGACATTTCCCCGCCTCTGGTGACTCACGGCTCAGGCACGTCCAGAGCCAACAATGTGCCTTTGTACTCGGAGATCTCAATGGATTTCTCTTTCGTGGTCTTGTCTGGTTGGCTTTTGAGCCTGTGTAAAGCCCATAAATCCCAAAATAATGAATCCCACACAGTTTTGCTGCACCTGGCGCAAAGAAAACGCCTCCCTTTGTGGGCATTGAACCTGACATCTGCTGGTTTCACTGCATGCCCGCCTGCCTTTAGAACAAAACAATAAATCCAGCCATTAGTCATCCCCTCCCCTGCCAGTCAGGATTTGAGAGCCTTCTATCTTTTCTGTCAACTGCTCCAATCCTCGGTCGAGTCAGTGAAACAGTGTCAAGGGCTGGGCAGTGAGACTTGGCTGGCAAGCAGCGCTCTGGAGCTAATCCCCTGCTCCGCTGTGTTTACACCCGCGGGGAGCCCCGGCCCAGTGCCCGGGTGCCKGTGCTAAGAGGCTCCGGGGAATCCCGCTCGTATTTTGGCACAAGAAGGAAAGCTCGATTACAAAATGCAGGTGTGATGATGACAGGGGCCAGCACTGCCAGGCTGCGGTGGCAGAGTGCCACCCTGGAGCACAGACAGAACCGGGGCACGGCTGATGTGGCTGCAGCGGGACACGGCAGACACAGCGTGACAGAACCAGCYGGGGGCTGGGGGCTAGGTCTGCTGGGACAGCCCCAAAAACAGCCAGGGGATGAGGGGACAGGGAGAGAAGGGCCCAGCAGGACTCAGAGATGAGTGATTTCACCTCAAAGTCAGGTTCCCTGCACGGCTCCCACTCCAGTTTGTATCCATCACCCCCGGTGTGACAGAGCACAAAGGGAGAGAGATGGAGCAATAGAGAAAAGCAATCCCTTGTTACTGGACTTCTCCAGTATATTTGGCTTTGTACCCCATGGTGCTGATTTAGAACTAGGACACGTGGATTGGGTCCAGGATAAAGGATAAAACTCATCTTTCTGGCCACCAGGCCCTCCAGGCRCCAGCGGTGCCACAAGGCTGTGCAGTGGGTGCTAAGGGATTACAAGTGATTTCTGTCCTCTGTCACACAGCTGAGATGGATATGGCATGTCCCACCTCACTTGGTGGTGGCACATGGACAATGTCCCTTAAAGGGGGAACATGGAGAAATGGAGGCTGAGAGATCCCAGGCTGAAGAAAAATGCCTCCAATGACAGACCTATCCAGCCTGTTTCTCTTTGTGCTGAGGGACTGCAGTTGCACGTCTATCAGAAAATGAACATGCAGGTGACTGTCAGCACTGGAGATAAGGGGGAAATTGCAGCTGAGAGTTCAAGCCAGGGCTGCTCCCTTTGGTTATTCAAACAGGCCCRTGGGAGAGAAAGCGGTTTATCAGAATTCATTCATTGCCTTCAGCGTTCCTGGGGACTTGCTGTGTTTTGGAGCYGGTCTGTTTTCCCCAGGGGGATTAGCAGGCCTTTAACCTCCCTTGGATTTTTCCAGGGCTCTGTTTCTGTGTCTGGAGGGTGCTCAGGGATTAACCTTCCTGCCAGCAAGAGGCACAATCCCTAAGGCACTCAAAATTCCTCACCCCATGCTCACTAAGCAGCAGACGCTGCTGGAACCCAAACCACTCTGTGCTATCCCCATCCTATCCCTGTGTCTGGATTTGTGGCTCTCAGATGGTCCCTCATATAAAGCATCAGGATTTTTTGCTTTCCTCCCTCCCCTTTCAGCTGAATCTGGTCCTCTTGGCCCTCTGGAGCTCTGCTCCTGTGTGTTCAGAGGTGCCCGCGTCCCTCACCTGCCCCACGGGTTCACCACACATCATTTCCCTCACACAGCATCTGCCAAGTGCCATTTCCTGGGTTCATAAACTCAGACAGAGAACAAAAACAAAGAAACCAAACCAGAAAAAAACCTGCTTTCCCAGAAACGTCTCTTTTTATTAAATCAYGTCTTTAGCCCTAGAAACATTTGTGTACTTGAGGTTATCACACCCAAAGCAGCAGAAACCAGAGAAACCCGAGAGATGGCAGAGGGCTCCTGAGGCAGGCGGGGTTGGTCCCACGCCAGGACAGCAGCAGCAGCCAGAAACCACAGTGGAAGTGCTGAGGTGGCTGTAACCTCCTTCTCACTTTTCCAAGGAGCCAACCTGCTGCTCCGGGGCCCACCGACACCTCAGAGCTCACAGTCTTGTGTTCAAAACCCTCTGTTAACCTCGGGGCTATTTTGGCTCCAAACCAGCAAGTCCCAGGTCGGGCTCTCTAATCCCAGGGCTCTCTTGGGCCCAGCATTTCCAGCTCCTCGTGGCTCTGCTGTGCCTTCAGCTTTCTGCTGAGATGGGAGAGCAAGGAGAGGTCTGAGTGCTCTGAGTGCCAGGCAGGTCTGCGTGGACCCAGTGTGGAGCAGCACAGATGGCTCAGCCACACTGCCCTGCACTCGAGCTGGATCTGGGAAAGGAGCAGGATGCTGTCAGCTCCCTCTGAGAGCAGCAGAATGGTTTATCTTCACAAGGTTTGTCAACTGATTCATTCCACTTAAGTGGTCTGGGCTTCCCCCCTTTATTTTGATAACATTGCTTCTTTTTCTCATTTGGGTGTAAAAAACTTCCTCAAACATCTCAGAGTTTAGGGGTATTACTGGACATGATATTTCCTTCCCCACATTACCAGACCTATTTTCACTGTTTCCTTTTCCACTTGCTCCTCAGGCACTGAGGTTTTTTTTTTTTTTCTCAAAAAGCTGCTGATGTCTCCTCACTCTGCAGAAGCAAARGGAGCTGGAAATGAAAACTGGTGCCAGAACTCTGAGGGGAAAAAGATCCCAAAAGGGAGCTGGCTCCCAGCCCTTGAGAGCTCAGGTTGTTTTGCTGCTTGGTATCACAACCAAAGTCACCTTAGTTCCAGGAGCAGTTATTAAAGGACAACAGGAAATACCCAGCAGAAAAGCTACAGCCCATTTGGGTACAGCTCCTGCCTGGTTCCCTGGGATGGGAACCCCAAACCCCCTTGGTTCCTTCAGCCACCCCCACCTGTACACCCGGTGAAGTCAGGTCTGAGCACAGGGRCATGGCAGGGAGCAGGATCCCTGCTCAGGGGCCCCCTTTGGCTGTGTTTATCTGGAAGGTTTTTAGGGCATCTCCAAGGTGAGGGCAAAGATCCCTGCCCTCGAATTCCCAGCTCTGCACCAGTTCCTTCACAGCACCTTGTAGGTGGGTCTGTGCTGCYGCAATGGAGATTTAGCCCTAAAAATGTTCATTTAAAACCATATCTCATAACCCCCTGTTTTTCACTGAAACTTTCTGAATCCCGTCCAATGTGTATCTGAGCTGGTCCTGAGCCAGATACCAGGGGACAGAGGTAGAGACCAGTCCCGGGTTCAGTGACCAGCCCAAAGCCCCTGCAGCACCTGGGCTCAGCCACCCAGAAACATTCCCCAGGTAGAACCCAACACATCCCTGCACCACCCTGGGAGGAGAGTGGGGACCAGGGACARGCTGTGCCTGAGGCTGTGGATGTACAGATGGGAAAAGCACAGGAGGGGCCACCCCGGGATGTGGGAGCAGCACCTGGGGACATGGGACCAAGCTGTGGCTCCATGGGGTGCTGGGGTCTCTCTGTCTCTCTCAGCAGGGCAGGTGGGGAGGTTCCTCCTGCTGAAGGTTTATGGCCATTCCTGCTGTGATTATCACCAGGGCACTGGGTGCTGAGATAAGGAGGGAAGGCTGGAATACCCAATAACTGAGTAATTGTCCCTGTTCTCGGAATACAGGGCAACAACTTGAGATGGGCCTTATCTGTCCTTACCTGTGCCACTTTTATGGGTACTCTAAAAGCAATACAATACTGTGAAAAAATATTAGGTTGCATTAGTTCTTTAATATTTACTAAACACTTATGGGAAGAAGCAATGTAGTTTCTCTTCAGATGGATTCTTTACATTTAATGTCCATAATCTTTATTCCTTTCAGTCTTTACATTTCTCACACCGACTGGCAGTAAATTGGGCTGAAGTTATTTCTGAACCCAAGCTGCTGCTGGTTCCTGGTGCTCTCTGATGGATCATGCACTGCCCCACCAAGAGGTTATTTCACTATGACCTGTGCCCATGACACAGCAGGGTCACCTGGGAATGACAAGGATCCCAGCCAGGTCATGGCCATTAACCCCCCCATTTAACCCCTCACTCCCACAGAGAGATCACAAACAGGCTGACTCACCAGTAACAGTTTCCAGTTGACTTTGGCTTGTGTTTTCAGAACAAGAATTAAAAAAACACTTCCATGAAAGAGGCAGAGAGCCAGGGATACGCTGTGGTCAGTGGGACAAAATACAGGATCACACACAAGTTTTACAGATGACATGGAAAATGCTGTCACTACTCAGTGTCCCTTGGCAGGACACAGGTATCCTCAGGAAGGGCTGTCCCCAGCTCCAGTGACTGGCACAGCAAAACCCAGAGGTCAGAGTGGCTCAGCCTGACCTGAGCTGAGCTTGAGCTGAGCCCACCTGGCAGTGGGGCCTGGCCCTGAGCAGGAGGGCACAGCCCAGCACATCCCTGGGGGAGGGTTCTGACAGCAGTGCCAGCTGGAAGGGCCCTGGAAGGATTTCCTCACTCATAGTGACAAATCTTATCCTGGACTAACACATTGGTGACAGCCAAGAGTGACTCGAACTGGCCTGTGAGGGGCTGAATGTTTCACTGAGACCAAGAGCAGAGCGAGCCTGTCATCCCACCTCCAGCAGGATTAGGGATGGGGCTGGGATTAAGGACACACTCAATTCCCAGATCTGCCAGACCGCCTGTTTAAACCCAGCATTTTCCATTCTGTCAGCCAGCCCCAGCTTTGCTTTCCAGGCCAGCAGAGCCTGGAACAGGAACTCSCAGGCCCAGGTCACTGAGGCAGGAGCAGCAGGAGCTGTTTGTGGGGTGGGTCTGTGCCAGGGTCTGGAGCAGTGCTCACATCCCAACCCACACCTCCCTGCACACGGGGCATCCGCCCCAGAGCTCAGCACAGAATCTGGGGGCGAGGACAGGGAACACATGGACAGGCCACTGGAAGCAGGAGCCCTGTGCTGAGCTCTGAGCAGCAAGTCCTGGCTGAGAAATGAAGAACAAATTCCTTCCTAGAGTTTCCTGCACAGAGGCAGAGCCCCTCCGTGTGCTCAGGTGGCTCCAAAGGTGGGAGTGAGTGGGATCAGAGCAGAGTCCTCACACAGGCCGGATGAGCTGGCTGGGTGCCCTTTTGCAGTCAGATGTTTTGCTGGAGCTACAAGGATTTTTCTGGTTTTGTTTTTTTTTTAGCACAGGAAGGGATTATCTGGGAATTCATGTTTYCCATCCCAGGCCTGGAGCTGCAAAGGGAAGCTGGTGGCTGCAGCATGAGCAGAGGTGCAAAAAGCTTTATCTTTTTTCTACCTACTTCTACACCCCCCGGGTAACTTAGATTTTCTTCTTCCTTTTCCTTTCCAGAGAAACAAGAGGGAAAAAAAGCCTCTCTGAAAAGCCTAGTGCAGGACAAGGGCCACACCCACAAAGCCAAAGATCCCCCAGCCTTCCMAGCTGAGTGAACCTCCCCTGCAGGCACCAGAGAACATCCTCGGGGCCACTCCYGCCCTGAGCCGGGCACAGGAGCAGAGCTGGGACAGCTGAGGCCCTTGTGCCACCCTGCTCTCCTGGAGGTGACACTGCCAGCCCGGGCCACGGCACATTTATCAGGCATGGGGTGGGGATCACATCCCACACGCCTCCAGCGAGGGCAGCACAAAGCCCCACCCGTGGGTGCTGRACTGGGCTGGCACCCAATTCAGCCRCCTGGTTTGGATCTGCTTCTCTTCGAGTGAGCCAGGATTCCCCCACTCCCCTGCCCCTGCTAAGGGCAATTCCAGAGCGCAGAGGAGCAGGAGCTCCCTGGAGGGACAGGGCAGGGGGGATGGAGCTGCTCGCTGGTTCCCCTCACCCAGCCCAGCCCCACGGAACTGCCGCGGGCACGGGAGAGAACTGCTTCCAGACACACCCCAGAGCAGGTGAGAGCTGGAGGAGCAGTGGAATGACAGATACCCTGTGTGCCCACAGGCACTGCTGCCCTGGGCAGGGCACTGAGGGCAGCCCAGAACCTCGGGGGGATGCAGGGGCACGGGGAGCTGAGCCCTGGAGCTGCCCTGGCATTCCCAGAGGATTGTAGGGGCACGGGGAGCTGAGCCCTGGAGCTGCCCTGGCATTCCCAGAGGATGGTAGGGGCACGGGGAGCTGAGCCCTGGAGCTGCCCTGGCATTTCCAGGGGATTGTAGGGGCACGGGGAGCTGAGCCCTGGAGCTGCCCTGGCATTCCCAGAGGATGCTGCAGGGGCACACAGAGGGCAAGGAACGCTCCAAGATGTCCTGGTTTGGGCTGTGCCAGGCACTGGCAGTGAGGGCACACCCAGAGTTCATCCTTTACAGGCCAGTCCACCTGAGGAAGTTCCAGGCTCTATTTTTACCTCTAAAATTTAAATAATGACAATTTTTATTTGCCTCTGCTGACCCCTTCCTTTCCCAGCAGCCACTTGAAAAACCCAGCCAGTGAAAAAGGGGAATAGAAATGTTTTCCTCTGCCACCAGTGGYTAACTCCAAGGACACTGCTGCACACAGGACATCAAACATCACAACTCTATTCCACTCACAACTCTGAGAGAATTTCATCTCTTTAGGCAAATGAATGCTACAAAGGAAAAATTATGTTCATGTCATAAACATCACAAGCTATGAGGAATATAGATCTTTGGAGGGAAATGCATTMATCAGGTGTCATTATCCCATAAACTGCACCAGGAGAACAGTCCACAGTGTCCATTCCAACACAATCTTCCCACAGAAATTACTGTACAATCTATCTTCTACTTTGCACCCCAAGTTCTACAAGTGCTCAATGAGGATATACAATAGTTCTACAGAGAAATCACTCAAGTGGATACATGAACGGGCCCTTTGGGGTTAAATAAGATTTTCAATAGTTCCACAATGCTACATTCATGCTACCAAGTTCACTGAATTGGGATTTGAGAAAGAAAATGGAAGAACAGTTTGCCTGTCTCCAGYTAGGAGGTGAAAGGGTCAGAAAGGGAGAGAGTTTGGTGTCAGCATTTTAATCCTCCCACAACCATTTCCTTCTCCAGATAATGTGACTTTGTGCTTTCACTGCATCTCTGGCTCCCACCTCTCAATGCAGAGCTGGTGGAAGTTCCAATGTTAAACAAAAATTGGCATAAATTTGGTTGGGTTTTTTTTTTTTTTTTTTTTTTTTAATATCTGGCATTTTCTTCCAAAAGCTACAGACTGGTGCCTGTTCTCCCCTTCACTCCAAGTCTGGCAAACCTGACTGAGTCCAGGGATGAGACGTGGCCACCAAAGCTCCCAAGGTCAGGGCAGCTCCCAACCAGGGGAGGCAACACCCCACACCTGTCTGTGTGGCTTTCAGTGCCTTTAAACCATCTCTCTCCACCTATTCCTCTCCTTACTGTATGTACATTATTTCTTCAAAAGTTTTGCTATAAAACTGCTCTAAAGGTAAAGGGTTCAGCAGTTCTAGCCAGGGGCCTGCTCCCCAAAATTACAACCACAGGTATGGCACAGGGGAAGGAGGACTCTACACATCAGAACACCTGGTTCTTTTTGTAAGTAGTTAAAAGAAGATTTGTACATATATTTTCTTTCACAATCAACCAATTTTAGATACCAGGAAATCAGGAAAATAAGGTAATCCTTCCCTGTTGCTTCTTTTGCTTGTGAAAGAAATAACTTGTGTCACCTCCCAGAATTGCCAATACCTAGACAGACTCTAAGTACTATTTATCCTCTGAAAGGACAGTAGAATGTGAAAAAACCCCATTCCCAAGACCAAAAAGCACCCCTTGACCTAACCAAACAAAAAGTAAATAGATTCCAAAATATATAATCAAATATCAAGTACAGACCTGGGCTCTCAGGCTGCTCAGACAGAGCTGGGGTTTTTCTCTGTCCTACAAAGGAAAGGGCTGAGCAGCTCAGACCAAGAAACAGGTCCTTCAGCAGGGGAAAAGGGGGGTTGTGCACAAACAACTGGCAATCAAGTGAACAGAGGGAAGAGTCAAACTCATGCTCCAAGTCCATGCTGTGTCCCTCCAGAAGCATTTCCTCAAATGCCTCAGTGCTCCCACATGGGKACAGAGCTCCTCTCCCAACACACAGCACAACACTGGCATGAACAGGTCATTAACCATGGCTATTAATTTCTAMTTCATTTTTATACCAAAGCGAGCCTGACAGAGGCTTCCCAGCCAGGTGCCGTGTCTCTAACCTAAAGTATTTCAGCAAAACTAAAGTCCCACAGTTTTGCAAGCAGCAAAATAGAAAGTCATGAAGTTGTGGCTAATTGGAGGAGAACTATACATTCGTGAGAGCACGTACAAATAGTGCAGCACAGCTACTCTGAAAGGAACGAACCAAACCAACGCAGCAGACATGTAGGGTCTGCTAACCGATGTTAAAACCATGTTTGCTGGTGATTAAATATGTCTACAGAAGATATATTACCATTCTGAATATATTTTCAAGCAGACCAAAAATACCTCATCTATTGGTTATGGTGTGTTATTTGTAGCTAATTAAATATCAGGAGGGATTTTACCCCCCCTCCCTCGCTATAAAAATTGCACTTATTTTCTATTAAACCAAACAAACAAAAAAAAGATTTCAACTCTATATCCCAGTATATATTCACATGGAAATGGGATCATCTTGCTCTAAGCTTGCAGGAGTAGGTGTAGCAGTCCTTGGTCTCAGAGACTCCCAGCACAGAAGGTCCCACCAGGACAACACCCTGCTCCCTCTGTGCTCTGGTGACTTCTTCACGGTAGTGCATGGGTTAATTGGGTTTGTTTTTTGTTTTTGTTTTTTTTTTTTGTAAGAAAACCTGAGCTTCAAAAGTCTTTAAAAGGACCTGGAATCAAATCTGGTCCATTCTGACCCAAAACAGCTCAGTTCTGCCAGGAACTCCATCCTGTCCTGGTTTCACACAGCTCCTCCTGAGGCCCCACGGCTCGGACCGAGGCCAGCGAGGTGTCACTGTCACCCCCTTTCCCTCCAGTCTCTCTTGGCCCAGGAGACTTTTCCTGCCGACACTTCCGAGGGCTCCTCCTTCCCTCCCTTTAGCRCTGCTGCCTCCCGTAGGGCTGTGAAGGGCTCCCTGTGCCAATAAAAAAGTCTCTCTGCAATAAAGCATGACTTCTTGGACACTGGTGATGAGCTTCCTCTCGCAAAGGCTTCTCCAGCTCATAAAATGTCATCATAATCCAATAGTTTGGAGTGCTGGCGGGTCTTCCAGAGGCGGTAAAGGCGGAAGTCAAAGTAAGTCTCAATCATTTGCTTACCTAGAAGTGAAAGGAGGCAGAGGGGTCACAAAGGAGAGCACGAGGGACAGAGGGGACAGATCACAGCAGCACAATCCCCCCAGCCCAGCCGTGGGCAGGGCCAGAGACTCCTTCATGGCACGACACGGGCACGTGGAGGGGCCCGTGAGAACCAAACGTCTGTTCAGATCTCCTCAACCATGAACAGCTCCCGGTAATCCCTTGGCAGGGTTTGTCCCCGGGGCAGGAACTGAGCACAAAGTCTGTCTCCAGACTTTGACCTCTCTGCTCTGAGTGCTGGGCGGGGCTGGGGTCTGCAGGGGATCAGCCAACAGCCCCAACAACCTGCACCAGGCAGAGAAACTACAAACCCAGAGTTAATTTTGTTTCCCACAGTGAATTAAGATTGGAAATCCAAAACAAAAAACACGTATTTTTTAAAATGACCAGGCCATCTCTGCTGCTCCTGTGTGCACCCCCAGCAATGAGCTCACAGAGCCCCCAGAAGTGCCCTTCTGACTGAAGAGGGTCTCACTGGCAGTCACAGAGTGCAGCTGTGCCTGGAAGGTGCATTTGGAAACACAAGGGCACMCAGCCCTACACTCAGACAGGGCTCAAGGAGGGGATTTTCACTTGTGAGGCCTGATTAAGATTAGTTTTAGATGACTTTGCACAGGATTAAGAGGGTACACTCTTAGTGCGTCTCAGACCGATCCAGGGGATAAATTCAGACGTATTCTTCAGCCCAGCCTCCTGWAAGCTCAGCTGCTGTAATGCCTGCACACAGAACCCACTGCCTGGCCTGCTGAGCTGCCCACAGACCTGGGAACTGCCCTGCAAGCTGCTCCTGGACACATCTGAGCACACTCACAGTGGGACCTGTGCAGGCACCGTGTACAGCTGAACTGAACATGTATGGAGAACTGAACAGCCTGGCCTGCTGGGAGGTGTCCCTGCCCATGGCAGGGGCTGGAACTGGATGATCCTTAAGGTCCTTTCCAACCCAAACCAGTCTATGACTGTGGTTGTGTGAACTCTGGGATTGTCTGAACTCTGGGACTGTGTGAACTCTAGGAATGTGTGAACTCTAGGATTGTGTGAACAGCACCCATGTGTTTCACTCCTGCACATTCCTGAGGGTAAGGGAGGTAAGAAAAACCCAGCAGTGCTGAGCCCACAGAGTGCCCACAGCTGACATTGACCAAAGAAAAGGAAAAATCCCACAGACCCTTGAAATACCTTGAGCTACAGGAAAAGAAAGGGAAAAAGGCCAACAGACTGAGCTGTAGAATGGCTCTGATGGGCCATATGCCAGGCACTTGACACAATTCATGTGGTGCCAGTCATGTGAGCTCTGGAGAAGAGACCCCAGTACACCCTGTGGCTACAGGAAAGGTTCTGCTCTGTGTGCATTTCTCCCACAGATTCCTGATGCCCTAACAATGATGGATTCTCCTGCAGTCAGCCTGGAAAGTGCCTCCTTGCATGGCCAGGATGCTGGGAGAGGCCTCTGCAGCCTCAGGCACAACAAACAGGAAATGGGAAATGTGAACATAAGGAGGAACAGGAAAACCAAGGGCAGCAGCTGAACCACAGCGTGGGTACGAGCAAAATGAAGACCATGGCAGGACTTAAGGGAGACAAAATTGCTTTTTCAGGAAGATGCCCCCTGAAGGAGGCAGACTGGTGAGCAAGATGTGTGAATCCCTCCAGGAAATAAATTACCTTGAGCTGATAGTTCAAGTGGAGACTCAAAGGCAACCCTATAAGGATTCATTAAGTTTTTCAGATTCTGAAATAGCTGAAAGGAAAACACATCAGAGTTAGCAGCTGAGAACAATGATGACTCCYGAGCACCCAGAACTGCCCATCTTGGTTCCTTCCATTCCACCCACATCCTTTAAAACACCTCTCTCACTAGTAAATAAATAAATAAAGTCCTTTGAACGACTCTTCTCCTCAAAGGTTTCAGTATTTGTCCTGCATGTCACTTACCCTTCCTCCCCTGGCCCTGGGAAAGGCACAATCCAGAGGTGCCCCCTCTCACAGCCCCCATGGCACAGCACATTCCCCCCCCAGCAGAAGAGGCAGGTTCAGAGCTCCCAGTGTGACTCTGGCTCCCTGGCCCCAGCAGACATTCCAGGGGTGACCCAYGAGCTCCTACCTTCTCCCCATTGGGGTTTCCAAGAACATAGCAGCCCATGATGTGGATGATATTTGGTTCAGGATTGACTTTACTCATCAGCCGGCTCAACCTCTTCCAGAAGCTGGAAAAAACCAGAATGAATCATTAAAAAAAAAAAAAAATCTCTCTCCTCAGAGGCATGATTAATGCCAAGGATGTGAGCACACACCACTWGGACAGGGCCCAAGGTTTGTAGCCTGGGCAGGAAACTGCTCAGGAAGAGCCACTGGATCTCAGAGAAKGAAGAACAGGGGCAGAGCAAGGGCCTGAAGAGCAGGTCCAAGTGGTGGTAGAGAAGGAGCAGCCCATGGAGCCAAGGAGCTCCAAGGTAAAGAGAAAGGAGCCAAGTCCCCCAGGAGTGTTTCTGGAGTGACAATTCCACCAAGCATCCCCTCCAGCTTCCTCTCTCCCACTTCTCTCAACAAGTGCCCTTTCTGAACACGAGGGTTATCAGGGCACTGGTTCATTTCCAGGGCATGAAATCAGCGGGAACAACTGCAGGGATTGTTCTCCAGAGTGAGACACAGCACAGCTCCATGWCAGCCTGTGCTTGGTGCTGCTCTCAGTCACACCCACTCCACGTGCAGTGACTGTGAGCAGGCACTGGGTGCCTCAGGGATGTGAAACACGACCCCCTTCCCTGGGCAGAGGTTTGGAGCAGGCTTTGGGGGGCTCTAAAGCCCAGCAACTCCTCTGTGGGTTTTCCAACCAGACTGGAGCCTTAGCTTCCCCCAGCACTGCCTCCCAGGGGGACACAGGCTGGATGGAGACATTCACTTCCAAGCTCCCAAGTTATCAGCTGTGTGCTCACAGCTTTCTGCAGATCCATGATTTACCAGCCTGGGAGCAGTTATGCTGGGTTGTGCTCAGAATCGTGGATGTGCACACGTGCTGGAGAATTCCACAGCCACTGTTTGTGCCAGAGCATGAGACTGMCGAACAGATGTTGATTTTAATACTCAGTTCTCATGCCAACACAAAGTTGTGTAGGAACAGGTTGGTATACATCCTCTCCCCCACAGCCAGGCACTGTTAGCTGAGAGAGTCTGAGCCAGCACAAGCGAGTAGGCAGCAAAACAGGCAAAGCTTTACTCTCTGCAAGGAGAAGCAAAATTGCTCAGCACGCCCAGCTGACAGGCTGGCATGTTAGTGAAAAGCCTTCTCAGGAACAGGCTGGACTTTGAGCAGGCTTTGCAGAGACAAATTCCATTTCCCCCTGGCCAGAGGCAGCTGTGGGGGAACACTCTGGATTTCTGCCACAGTCACCAGCTTAGCAATGGTATCACAGCACCAGAGGCTCAAGGTGCGTGTTCTGGTTTCTGCTCAGCAAAGCTGTTGTAAGTAGAGGAAATAGCGGGTTTTTTTCCTCTTCTTTTGACAGTCTCTATCCAGAGAGACACTAAACAGATGAAAGCATCAATCTCCTGGTGATCAGGGCTGTAGCACTGCAGGGATGAGTTCAGCTCTGTCACCTTTCAGGGGTGACAGCAAACCCTGAATGAGCTGTGCAGTGCTCTCTGGTCCCCCCTTAGCTTCCTCAGCCCCTGACCAAGCCATCCCAGCTCCCTCCAMTTCTCCTGCCCCACCATGTGCTGCAAACATTGAGCAAACCCAGCAGAACAATGCCATGTGAGCCCAGAGCACAGCACAGCCACTCACAGGATCAGATCTTCCTCCTTCTCCACTTTKGCGAAAGTGGCGACTTTGTTCTTTAACAAGTACAAGTGCCCAGGGCCTCCCTGCAAGAGAAAGACAGACTGTTGGAGACCCCTTTGCACAGACCCCGAGGAAACAAATCCTGGATGCGTTTCCAGTCCTGCCCAGCCATTCCCAGAAGTGCCACAAGGGAGCAGGGCAGCCCTGCATTGGGGATAAGCCCAGAGAACATCCACACACGGGCAGCATGGTGGGGCTGGATGCTCTGGTTTKTACTGCTCTGTGCCCATCTAGAAAGGCACAATAACAGATAAAAAAATGCCACTGTGGGCGGCTGCAGAGTAATAGGGAAAACAAGAAAGTCCCTGTCACCTGGGGATGCTGGAGGCTGAGCACAGCAGGGACAGCAGGGAAGGGATGGCACAGCTGAGGAGCTGGACTGGGGCAGCAGGAGGCATCAGCAGCCTGCCACAACACCAGAACATCGAAAAGCAAAGCTGCTCCTCTGCAGCACTGGGCACACAGAGGGACTTCAGTCAGGGCACCTCCCTCACTGCTCCTGGCACAGCTGCTGGGAACTCCAGAGCTGACCCCTACGAGGAACAGCAACCTTGGGAAGGAAAACCCCAGATCCAGCAGGGCCTGGACTTGTCCCAGCCACAGCTCCAGCCTGACCCTTCTCCTGCATCCTCTGGCTYCCAGCTCCCAGCTGAGCCATCTGCCAGTCTGACCACCACTCACCACTGCCACTGTCCCACTGAGGCTGAATGGAAACTATGACACTGCAACACTGTTTGTTCCTGTCTCTGGAATCCTTTCTAGGCYTGTGCTGATGCTGGTTTGCCTGGGGTTCCTTGAGAGCAGCTGAGAATCAGCCCAGCTCTCAACTTGGCCTCACTAAATCAGATTTGATTTCCTGCTGTCACAGCAACTCAAGACTGCTCCTTGTCTGGGAATTGGGAAGTGAAAGCTGTGACTYGGCAGCGACTTTAATGGAAACTGACTTTGGAATATTGGCTCCTCTGTGTCACCTTCCCCATAGCAAAATACAAATTTGTAACATCACCCAAGTGTTTAACAACTTCATGTACCTGGCAAAATATCAGCATCTTCCAGATTTTGCAGCCTTTCCGATAAATGTTAAGTTTCTTCTCTATTTCCTCTGCAAAAAACAAAACAAAACAAAAAACAAAAAAGAAACATGTTGGAAAAGGTGAACCATAGACAAAGTTGAAAATAAACTCTATTTTTTTACACTTTAGCCCTGAAGGCAGGAGGCTGAGCTGGCAGAGGTGCTCAGTACATGCCATGGATGCTGCAGGGAGCAGGAAATGCCAGCAGGTCCCAGGGCATAGAAAGGATGGAACAGCACCAGAAACTGCTCTGCAGTGACCACAGCCCTGTAGGAGCCCCAGCTCTCCTGGCCCCCTGTTACTGTTCCCATTCCCCACCACAGGTACAATGAACAGGTATCTGCAGCACCGTGCCTCAGTTTCCCTGCCACAAACGAGGTGTTTGGCACAGAAAATGGGCCCCAGAGGTGAATGTTTATTACAGCAGCACACCCAAGAGCAGCTGATTGACTGTCAGGAGTCACTAGAGGGACAAAAACACCTCTGTGAGTGGCAGCTGAGGCAGGACAGCTGAATGACTTCAATACTGATGGTTACATTTGCAATGGGCAGGAGATAAGAAAAGCAGGTAACACTCACGTACCCAGAATGTCATCGAAGGTGGCATGTTCATGGTCCTGGAAACCAAGACAGAGACATAGAAAAGTTCATTGTCACTACAGCAACTCCCTTGACAGTTTTATGGTCTCTAATACCCACACAATCCCATGGCCAGGTGAAGGGGAGCAGTTACACCAACTGATGGCTGCTGGTCACAGCAGCAGTAACCCCACCCCAAATCACATTTCAGCACAGAAGCTGAACACTGAACAGCTCATGAAGACCAATTCCACCCAAAGGCTTGAAGCCTGCAGACACGTCCAAAGCACAGACATCCATCAATAGAGTCTGCATCAGCAATGCCTCCTTCCCTCCTGCCCATGATTTGTGGCCACCCTCTGGCTTTAGCCCTGTCCAAACTGGCTGACAACAGCTGCACTCCCAGCAGAGCTGCCTCTGGCACAGCAGAGTCACAGGACAAGAGCACAACTCTCCAAGGACAGGAGACAGCAAGGTTATAACCCCAGCAGCACTGCCTGCTGCACACTGACACCAGCCTTGTGGGCTCTCAGTCCCACCTCCCCTTGMAAATTCTGTGATTAGGAAAAGGAGACCCATCACTCCTTGGTGCTGCTTCACATACCTGCTCAGGCCAGACTCCCAGTAAAAAATCACAGTTCAATTAATGACTGACAGGGRTGCCCCACTGCACATGGGGTGATGGTTTTGTGGTTCACTGCCAAGCTCTGARCTCCTGCCTATGCCAAGGCTGAGCATGAGGAGGAGCCCTAAGCCTGGCAATGAACATCTCAGCCTGTGATGCAGCCTGCCCTCCTTCCCTCGATCATCCTCCCACGCAGCTTGGCTGGGCCTGCAGAGCCCATGTGTGCTATTCCCACCCCACCTGACTGTCCCACCTGGACCTGAGCCTCTGCAAAGCTACCCCAGACCCCAAAGCTGGGTTCAACACACCCCCCAGCCCCTTCTGGCAGCTTTTCCAAATCACATCAGTGAGGAACTGAGGGATAAGAGGAATGAGGGAAATAACAGGTATGGGTGCAATAAAAAAGTCTCTCTATGACCCCTGTTCTCAGGCACAGCAGAAATGAGTTACTTACATAGAGGATGGGGATGATGGAGGGGTCGTCCCTGCGGATAATGGTTGGGACATACTCTGCTTTGGGCACCTTGGAAGAAATGAGCTGGAAAGGGAAAAAAGGGTGCAACAGCATGAGGAGAAGGTAGCAGAGTCTGCACAGAAGCACAGAGGCCATGAAAAGGTTCAGCTGTTCTCAGTGTTACTCAAGGCAGCAGCTAACCCAGCCCATCCACATCCCAAGGGAAGGTTCCAGCTCAGAGCACCCCCAGGCCTGCCAAGTACCCCTGAGTGTCACCATCTCTGCCAAATACCCCTGAGTGTCACCATCTCTGCCAAGTACCCCTGAATGTCACCATCTCTGCCAAGTACCCCTGAGTGTCACCACCTCCTTGACCCCCAGCACATGAGCACACAGCTCTGCCCCAGAGGCTGCACTGAGCCCAGGAGAACAGCCTGGAAAGGGGAGATTGAGGCACACAGAGGATGGAGCAGCCTGTACAGCACCACGGGTGGCTGTACCCCAGCGAGGATCACTCCTGCACAGCCTCCTCCTGGCTGCAGGCACTGCTCAGKGGCACTGAACACACAGTGGCACACGGTGAGACAGGCACACCTGCACAGGGAGCAGCCAAGGCAGGCACAGGCTGCAGCTGTCAGGCACTGCCTGGCAACTCTGGCTGAGCCCTGGGCTGGCTCCAGCAGCACCAGAGCCTGAATTCTGTTGTGATTCCAAGCCCCTCCATCGCTTTGCTGTGGGAGCAGATCTGGCAGTGGTGCTCAGATCTCTGTTTTCAGGGTCAACAAGCCTCAGGCTGACTTGATTCTGTGTTGGTGTGAGTCCTGCTCTGATTTGGACTACTGGTCCCTCCTTTTAGTTTTCTTTCAACACATCATCCCCAGCAATAACAAATCTGAACCCATGTCATGTCTTGGTTCATCTCAGAGTGACCCTCACACACACCTGAGGCAGTGCCTACACAACAGTCTTCCCACAAACATGCTGAACTCAGTAGCTCTGAAAAAACAGAGCCTGAGTTGGAAAGYCTCACCATTATTTTTGGTGGAATAAAGTCTTCTCCGTCACACGCCATGGCTTCAAGTTCCTTTTCTGCTTCCCAGTTCAAGTCAAAGTCACCATCCAGAGTCCCGCAGGAATCCTGAAGGTCATGGCCTGCCAGGACACAGGGAGCGTTACAAGGGCAGAACAGCCTTCCCACCTCCATCCTGCCTGGCAGATGCCTCACAAGAGGTGCCACGAGACTCATGCCCTCTTGTCACCCACAGAGTGACAGACACCACTTGGGGCTGGTGTCTTCAAACAGACGAACACGTAACGAATGGAGAGTGCACAGAGAGATCACACCACGTGTCACAGAACTTCATCACTCTCGCACTCGYCAAGCTTGGTTTTCAAACGCTGTGTCACAACAGCCACCCTGTCACTCCAGAAATGGGGACAGAGACGGAACACAGACAGACTCTCTACCCTTCAGCACTGCCAGGCTGATAAGCAGAAGTCCAAAGACTTCAAGGCTGTTGTCCTTGTAGTAATTACTGCTCTGACTATATGTTTTGAGGGATTATAAAGAAAATCTGCCTTGTTGGTCAGACTGATCCTGGCAGAGAAGTCTTAGAGCGTGCATGAAGACAGCTGAAACAAACACAGTCATATTGCAACAGTAGACTTGAACTTGCTCTCCAAATTGACCTTACCTGGTGRCCTTCAATGCCTCCTGGGGAAAAAAACATCTGGAAGGAATATAATTGACCATAAAAGGTTAAAAATAGAGATGATTGCTGGACTGAGGAAAGAGAACCGAGGTGCCASTGTTCGTGCCTTTGGGGATGTCCGAGTGTCGCTGGGCAGTGCCTGGAGCCTGTCTGAACCACGGCTTTCCCATGGCTTTTCCATCCGCCTCCGGGCAGCTGAGGGAGCAGGGAGGAGTCAGACTGCCAAGCAACAGGGTCATGTTTTGAACCTGGCCTTTCAGACACCTCCCCCTGCAACCTGGGTCTTCTACAGCTGGCAGGGCCAGATCTCGTGCTTACCTGGTAGATCAGGTCATTTCATTAGTGAAATTCACCTCACCATGGGCAAACTCATATCCACCAAGCTCCTGCCTACAGGTTTGCAATAAAATCTGTGTAAAACAGYCATTCCTTTTATAAGAATACAGTGGGAAGATGCTGGCATTTCTTCCTGTAAATTAACACACAGCATCTCAGTCCCCTGAAGAACATGGCAGCRTTACTGGGGATTCCCAGAGGGATTCCTGGCAGCCCAAATGAAGATCAGATTGCCCCAAGCCATCACCTGTGCAGCCAGCACGGCCAGGAAATCAAAACTCCATCTCAACAGCAGTGCTCTTGAGCTACTCCAGGCTAGGAAAGAGCTCGAAAGGGGGCTCCTGCATGGGAAGCCACGTTAGCCCCACTATGGTGAAGGTAAGCCTTGGACTGGTGAGCTTCCAGAGAGGTTGTTCTGGTGCCAAGAGGATACAGGGATGACAGGAACAGAGGGCTGTAAGAGAACTGTACCACTGGGTACCCTTTGGGAACTGCTCAATAACCTGAGGTTGGATGAGTTGTGCTCTACAGATAAATACAGGAACACACAGATGAACAGGTACATACACCTGGAGCGTTACCTGCTCCGATCTCGGGAAACTAAAAAAGGATCACAGACAGGACAGAAGGGCACAGAGGAGTTACTCCAGTGGGACTCCAGTCAACAGCTGCTGGAGGGTTTGCCCACAGGAGGAAGCTCAAAGGACTCAGAACTCACTTTCTCGAGAGTCATGGAAGGAATCAGCTTTGATGGGAGTCGGGTCACTCCAGGACCTGCTGAAGCTCCTCTCACGCCGTTCGGCAAATGCTAGGATAAAACCAGAGCACGACATTAACAGATCCCAAATCACCTCTGCTGCTGCCAGCAAACAAAACATCCAGCAGATTGCCACCAAAGCCACACATCACAGCCTCCTCTGGGCTGCTCCTTCCATGTGTCAAATGTGAGTCCTTTCCACACGGCAAACACGGGGCTCTCTTCCACACAGCAGAGACAAAGCACCCACTTGTGCACAGGACGGGACGTGAACACAGAGAAAGGACAACACTCCATGGTCTCTCCTTAAACACACACGGYTCCAACCTCAATTTCACCAAGGCCAATCCAGTGTCCCAGTGGAAGTGCTCAGACTGCAAGGCCTCACAGAAACATGCACTGCACAGCTAACGACACCTGCATGACCAGAAGAAGGCTGTACCTCTCCAGTCAGCTCTCCCTTCATGTTCTACTGGCATCCCAATTGGAGCTGGACCCAACAGCAGGGTGGGGATGTCTCTGGAAAGCTCATGCTTTCTACATTTCGTTGCAAAAGAAGAAATCCTTCAGCCTTAGCTTCCCTGCACTGTTGTAAGCACTACTCATGGCTTTTTCTTTCCTCCCAAGGAGCGCTGCATTGTTTGCACCAGCATTTCCCAAGCATGATCCAGGGAGGTTGGCTTAGACGGCTGCACCACAGGCAAATTCCTGGGAACTGGCAACCACCATGTCTGACTTGGCAAGCCCATGTGAGAACCATTATGCCGGGATTAACAGCCACTTATGGGCACTAATAYCTATTCCTGGTGGCAGACAGAGTCTGCAGCACGGAATTGAGTAACAGCAGCASAGGAATTCACTGAGGATCTGCACCAAAACAGCAGCCTGTCCCCTGCTGAAGTGTGTCCAGGGTGAGTGTCCAGGGAATCAAAACACATCTTCAATTCTCCAGRTCCTCAGCTTTCAGTTAAACCCAGGCATTTTGCTCCTGTGCACACGAAGAAAGCTTTGAAAACCTGACCCAAGAGTTCCAGAGGCAGAGACACGCCCGAGCTTCCCCACAGCTCTGAGGGAGGTGAGCCATGTCCACGTCAGGCAGCACTAACTCAGATGCCAATGAAGACTCTGGAAAAGGCAAAGCTCTTTGCTGATCACTTCCCACAGCATYTGAGAAAGGAAAGAATGCAAACTGAACTCAGCAGTGCTTTGCTGTGGGCAGTCTGTACATGATGCCTGGCCAGGGGGTGGGAAGAACAAGCTATTTTCTCTTCTGGRGCAATCCTCAGCTCTTGAGAGCAGTGTATACCACTTCTCCAGCATGAAGGGAGCTGCCCATCCAAGTTTTGGAGGATTGTGGCCTTCCTCACAGAAAGGGAATTTTTGTTTCCTAGGCCTAAGAGGTGATTTCTTCCCCAGTGCAGCATAACACTTCCTCATTTCACCCTTGSTCCAGTCTCTTCCCTGATCCTCTTCTTTCTTCCTTCCACCATCCTCTCAGTTCCCAGCAGGCAGCTTTCCCCCAAGTCCTGCTGTGGAGATGGCAGTGGCACAGGGGAGGACAGGACAGCCAGCAGTCTGTATGGCACATGGAGCACTGACAGTCCCAGGGAGCCACASTTGGTCACAGCTGCACGGAGAGGCCAGGCAGCTCTGCTGAACCTCCAGCTCGGCTTCTCCTCACTGGCCTCCACACCAGGGSTCACCAAAATCCACACACAGGACAAGGATGCTGCAGCTCTCCTTCCATGCTTGGCACCATGGATGTCCCACAGCCATGGCAGAGGGTCCTTGGAAACAGCCTCCAGGCTGCTGCAGGCATCCATGTGTCCTGCACGCTTGCAGTGACCTGGCTTTCTTGTTTGTAGGGTAAAAATGGCACCAGCAGGTCAAATCCTGTCTCTGACCCAAAGCCAGGTCCTTTCAACCCACACCTGCATGTGAGAGAATTCTCAYAAACCCCACAAACCCCAGCTGCTCACAGCCACACTTAAAGGTGCTCACTTACTTTGTGCTTTAACCCTTCGGCTCCCCACCATGCGGAGGTGCTTCCGAAAATTCCTGAAAGAAAGGCAAACACAACATTTGAGAAAGGTGACACGAAGCAACACCTGGGGCCAGCAGGACTGGARAAACARGAAGGAAAAAAATACAATGGAGATGACAGCRTATTTCCTTCTGGGCATTCCAAAGCTGGAGAGAAGGTCCCCAGCCTGCAGGGATGCAGTGCTGGGGATGGTGATGTTTGTTGAGTGGGGCTGTTCTGAGCTGCCTGACCTCGTGGTATGAGGCAAGTGGGGTCCCACAGGGCACCTGTTCATGGCCCACTTTCCCTTTTCTGTGATTAATCAGTTTACCTATACTGTATGTGCTGAGGACACCCACTGCCCATGCTGGCAGTGTTTCCTCTTTTCCTGTAAAGAGCAATAACTGCTCCCCTCTGTCCCCTCCRGGGGTGCCCAGGCTCTGCACACACCATCCTTGTGGTTGTGCTTATTCCTAAACATAGCTGCTCCTAAAACCCCTCCTAAATCCCCTCCCGTGCTCTTGGTAGCCATGCAGCCCAGGCTGCTCTCCAGGCCAAGAGCTGGGGGAAACCAAAGCAGGTTCTCCCTCCTAGGAGAGCAGAGTTCAGTGATGCTGCCTGTCCCCATGGGTCTGCTCTCACTCTGTGCTGCCCTGGCCTCACAGGCAGGTCCAGAGGGGCTGCAGAGAGTACACAGCTCCAGGGGAAAGCCACACAGCTTCAGGGGAAAGCCCTGCAGAGCAGCTACACCCCACAGTCAGATCTGTGTAAAACAGAATGTCTTGGCTACCCCTGAGAGACTACAGCAAGGAGACTCTTTTCCAGCCTCTCTGACTGCCAGGGACCAGTTTCTCTTAGTTGTTCATCACTCATGAGGCAGGAACAGGACASGAACAAACAGAACACCAGAAGAGACAGGGAGAAGCAGCATCAAGAGAAGTGTCACCTCTCCTTGAACCCTATTTAGTCAGGGTAGCTTCACCCTGCAGTGCAGCCCCAGCATGACAGAGAGCCCATGCACTGGGCACCCTACATGGAGTGGGGCAGCCTCCTTGGATTCCTCATTCCCCCAACACACCRGGCAAACACCAGGCAACAGAGACCACAGCTGGTGAAAGGGGTGAGTGAGAAGTCGTCTGGCTCACACACAGGTTAGTGGGATCACTAAGGACATGGTACAACCATGCAGATGCTTCAGCAAACTGACTGAACCAGGAGACACCTCCAGCACTGCCACAAAACTGTTCAGAGAAACTCGGATCCATCTGCYCCTGTCCAGGAGATCCACACAAACACAGTCCTCATGGGGCAGCTCTTAAACCATGTCACCTCCTGCACTTCCCCGCTTTGGCCTGGGATCCCTTCTTGTCATCAGGATCCAAATTCAGCAAGAAGAAAAACCAGCAGCTGTGAGCAGCATTATTCCATGCCAAACTTCCATCTGCTTTTGAGCTATTAATGTTTTCCAAAGATAAATTTTCTCTCTCCTTGGGTACATGAGGATTCACTGCTGTGGATCAGACAAGTGCCCCTTTAGACACATCCACTGAATTGGCTCTGATACAAAACCTTCTGGGGGGCACCACTGACAACGGGATCTGACTTACAGTGCTTCAGATTAAAATCCAAATAAAGACAACATTTTAGGGGAGCCAGGGCTRTTCTTGACAAGAAAAAGGCCTTAGACATATGTTATATGGAAATCTTTATGGTCTGYTGTGACCCTGAGATCATAGCAGACACTGAGCACCAGTGTAATTGCCAAGGCCAATTGACACATCCTTTGGGCTCTGGGCATTTTGAAGTAAAATCCGCCTTTCAGTGACACGCTCAGCTGTCCTCTCCACAGAGGAGTTTCTTCAGACCCTGGGGGCAGAGGGGTAAAGCAGTCTTTGCCACTGAAGAATACTGCTCTCAGCTGCCTGGACAGCTTGCGCTCTCCCACGAGAGACCTAAACACTGCTGAGAGCAGCTCCAGGGAGAATCCAGCTGTTCAAGGTGAACCACTGCACTAAATGCTCAGAAAATGGAACAAAGGCCATGTGCTCCATTTTTTTCTTCTAGAAAAAAACAGCACTTTGGAAAGAAGATGCAAGCTTGGGACYGACTGCCTCTTAATGTGGCTATGCTGTGAACATCTTGATCCTTCTMAGGGCTTTTTGCAGCTGCCTGGCTGCTCAAGCCCCTCTGCATATCAGAGTGACAGGACTGGCCCTGGGGAAGCTGCAACCAGCTCTGTGAGACTTTCCCCCAAACCTGCCCCACCTTCCTGTCTGGCTCCTGCCGCTGTACCAAAACCCYGTGGGGTCTGATCACTCCCAAGATCTCTTCAGCCATCACAACACAACCAGAATGCCTCAAGTTTCAGCCATGAAATCTCCTTATCACTCCCTTTTCTGAACAGCTCTCCCCCTGACAGGCTCCAGCATCTCCAGGATATCAATCCCAGGTATGTCCCCATGGTATCCATCCCAGCCAGAGGGGTCCCAGACACTGCAGCCTCACCTCACACAGTCACCCCACTCTGCAGAGAAGCGTTTTCACTGCCCAAACTCCTGGCAGCACCTTTCTCATCCCTCTCCCTGGCTGCTCCTGCACTGAGCAAAGCTCTGGGCAACCCTCAATGCACAGGCAGCATCCCTGTGGCCACACCACACGATCCAGCCTCCCTGGGCACAAGGACTCAGCACTGAAGGGGCTGTGTGAGAACAACTGAACCCCAAAACACCCATGAAGGGCTGCACAATGAACACCCAAACCACAGCAGGGCTCTCCTCACTCCCTGCAGGAGAGAGCTGAGCTCTGCCAGCAATCCCCACAGCCAGAATCCCAGCACTGCTGTCCCTCCTCTCTGGGACAGCAYAGACACAGAGCTCCTGCTGGACAGCCCTGCCCAGTCCTTCAGTGAGCTCAGGAGGAGAAGGGACATGCTGAACACACAGCTCAGGTGACACCATCCTCTCTCCTGCCTACACAGCACCACCAAAGTACACAACTCCTGCTCCCATACCCACAATCCATATGAACAAACCATTTTCTAACCAAGACTTGCCTCTGCCTAACAAATTCTGTGAAATCTTTCTTTTTAAAGATACACTGTCTATGTGTTTAGAGTGTCTTCAGTTTGAATTTTCATTTCTATTTGCTATTGATGAAAAAAAACTCACTCTGAAGTTGCTAAAAAATATATTTCCTGACAATTTCTCAGTTAAGAAAACCTGATGTTTTTCTCCCAGTTGGTTTTGAATAGTGCTGAAGTGATCATGGCAGTTTTTAACCAATGACACAGATGCTGTGTTATCCTTTTCAGCAGGCTGCCAAAACACATGAGCCTTGGCACATTTAAGAAACCAAACCAGTTCTGATTCCTACTGTGAGTAAGCTGATGTGCCATAGGAAACCTGCAGAAGGAAACCAGGTCCTTCTGTAATACCTAGACAAGAAATCAGTACCCACAGCAGTAAGGAATGGGGAAAAAAAGAAAAATGGAAAAAAAG